GCTGCAGCAGCAGCTGCCTGGGCTTTTTCTTTTTCTTTCTTAATTTTAGTCAAGTCTTTCTTTAGCTCCTCCTGAAGTATATTAAATGAATAAATAGAGAGGGAGGCACTTCATATGATTATTCTAGGGCAGGATTAAAATCTAGACATAAATCCCCATGCTTAACCAAAAGGCAATAATAAAAGCCATTTAAATATGCAGAGTTTTAAACGTGCTTAACCTACAATTCACATAACATGAAGGGATGACACTCTTGGTCTACTATGACACACTGGCTGTAATTTATCAGAAGCTGTTTCAGGAAACAAGGTAATGTCAGTCCAGATGAAAGACACAAAGCATAAAAAGGACATATACTAGCTTCGCAGAGATCCGTGCATCCACAACCAGAACTTCTTCCTGTATGCTTCCTTAAAATCTCACTGAGCAAACAGATAAATTAAAGATTAACACAGAAATGCTCTCTCCAGCTTAAAACCAAATTAGTCTTTGAGAATAACTGTCCTTACCTGCACTTCAATTTGTAGATCTTTGTCCAGAAGTGCTCTTTTTTTCAATATTTCAGCTTTCAGCTGTTCTTTATGCTTGAAAAGCAGAGCTGAGAGCTTAGTAGCATTCTGTTTACTACGCTTCTGTTCTACACTCTCTTCTCGCTTTCGTTTCTTAGCTGCCTGTTTTTCTTCTTTGTCTATCTTATCCAGAATATATTTCATCACTTGGTTGCACACAATCATTCTGGGGAAGAAATAAAGAAAAAGTACATTGCGCTGAGCTGCCTATTTATCCCCAGTTGAGAATGCAGAATCATTTCATTTTCCAGTCTCTGCAAGTTGCAAGCTAAATTATTACATTTCTTCAGACGTACAAGGTCAATTTAGTAACGCACATTGCTCCCACTCACACTTATTTACTAGAACACCACTGGGAGAGATCGAGTCCCTAGTTAGGCTCCAGAGGGCCAGTCCCAATTTCATTTAACTGATCTGAGCACTAACTGTTCCTCCCCTTCCCCTATAAAACTCCTAACAAAGCTTAGGCTTTAGTATGATGAGAGATTATTTTCACTCAATTCAGTTTCCACAAACATGTTTGAAAGAGATGGATTTTGTTTATTCTGATGTAGGATGAAAGCAAATTGGAAGCCTGTAGCTTCTTCTAACACACACATTTCCACCCTCCAGTGACCACCAAATATTACTGAGCTTTTGTGTTTTGGCGTAAGGAGTGACAAATATTTTTCAGCGTATAGAATTCACTATGAAACAGTTCCAAATTTCTTCACTAATGACAACTCAGGATTAATTTTTCATCTACTTGTTGCACACTCAACTATAAATCTCTTTTCCTGCTCACTTGTTCTGCAATTTTCATTTAATTTTGCTTTGAATTTCAATTAGAAAATGGATGTATTTTGGTTCTTCTGAATTTACCATTCTACTTCAAACTCACTAGAAAACTTAATGCTTCTCGTTGCCAGAATGACCATGAAAAATAAGTCCCACTGACATATGAGCTGAAAGCAAACAACAAAATAGCAATGGCCGGGACAAGTAGCTGCTGCTAACTCTGCAGTCTTAGGCTCAGCCATATTGTCTTTTGATACACATCTGTATTTTGATGACAGATGTAATATACTAGCTGTTTTGTAGGGCCATACAATTTTGTTTACTTTGCTCTTCTTACCTGCACTATATCTACTTGGTTTAGTCTGTTTTTTCATCAGGTAAGATACCCAAACTGCATTTTTGGAGGGGGGGAGGAAAAAAAAAAAAATCAGTGAGCAGACAGCTGTACCATGAGTCAGGCTAGTTAGAACTCTTCCTAGTGATACTGTTGTAATAACTAAGCTTGTACTCCGATTTGATCAAAATTTTATAAAAAACACTATTCTTTTTCTTCTAACATACACTTGTGATTATCCACTTGAAGCAACTGCATGAGTGAAAAGGATTCAAAATAACCCCAAGACAAATGACAAACACTCCAAATTTGTGTTTAGCAGCTTCAAGCATAAAATCTAGTTTGTCGAATAGCACTATCTTGCAACTCTTCAATTCCTTCTGCAGAGTGCCATGTACAGTGAACAAGAATGGAAATAAACTGCCATGATAAAGGACAAACAAACCCCAGACTTTTCTGCAACAGAAGCATTAATTCTCCATTCTGTGCTCCTTTAAGGATGGTTTTAACCTTGAATTTAAAAACTGTAGCCAGCTCCAAACACATGCAATACAACATTTTACTTTAAAAACATATAATCAAAATAAAATTGAGAATTTACAGGATTAAATGACTTCAAGTTCAGAACATCGTTATGAAAGTTACTTTTGAGTGTTACTTTAAACGATTTTAAAATAGAAACTTTTTTTACGCAGGTTTTTACAAACGAGTGTTTTATTATACCACCATTAAAAGATGTTTTAAATGTAAACCTCTCACATCTAAAGATGTACTATGATGCATATTCACCTCTGATTTTCTTCCCTCTCAGCCGGAGTCAGTGTCTTCTTCTGTTTCAAGTGTTCTATGACAGCATTCTGTTTCATAACCACCTGCAGGATGATACAGAATCCAAAATAAAATATGAAAACTTTAGCCAGTATTGCATAATATTACTGGGAGAACCAGGACATTTCCTAAGTTAAAGAAAAAGATAAAAGTGTTATTTATTTCAGTAAGTGACAAAATAAAACTGATTTTCAGGGGGGCAGCGCTTGTTTAAAGCAATTATTTGAAAATTGAGAAATGAAATTGTGTATTAACACCACCTCCACCCCCCACATAAGAGTAGGATATTTTGCTTAAACCTAGGGACTAAATGTAAATTGACAGTCTTTCTTCAGTGACTGGTTGTTTTATTTTAAAAAATGGTAAGGTCTATTTTTTTTTTTAATATTTTTTTTTTCAGCCCCGCAGCCATCCAACAGCATTACATTTCAGATACCTCCTTGACACCTCAGTTTCCTAGAGCAGGCAATGAAAGTACTGTACATGTGTTCTGAACATCAGCTCTCCTATCTATAACCTATCTTTCCTGAACTGAGAATAAAGATCTATCGTCCCAGCAGCTAGTGGTAACTTGAATCAAGGTGCCAGAAGACTGCAAACATAGTACAACTGACTTGATGTGCTGAATTAACTTAGAATATTTAATTAAATTGCCAAAAGCAATCGTGCACTAACGTTGAAAGAATCAAATTAACTGCCTATCAAATGTATTAACATTGTTAACAAGAACAGGCATTTAAAATGAGATTTGTTTCATTAATTAAGTTTTAATTTCCTTCTTTTAACTTTACCTGTTTCTGGATAATGTCACTTTGATTAGAAGCCTGAAGGGTGTGCTCACGTTTAATTTCTATCTGTTGCTGCTTTTTCTTCTGTTGCTGCTCCCTGAGCTGCTGAACTCTCTGCAGCTGCTCCTGAACACTAGCTGCTTGAACTGTTACCACATTCTGAATCTGGTGAGCCTGTACTGGGCTAGTTTGTTGGATCTGAATAGGTAACTGAAGCTTGATCTGCTGGGGCACACTGCCTTGTTGGGCTTGTATCTGAGCCACAACATGTGACTGAAGCTGAGAGAGAACTTGGACTTGTTGCTGAAGCTGAGGCACTGTAATAACTTTTGTTGGAGGCTGCTGGAGTTGCAGCTGAGGACGAGTTGGGGATTGCACAGGAACCTGATTTAAACTTTGAGTAGTTGGAAGGGTTGAGACCGAAGTCTGAACCTGAGGTTGTGATTGCTGCAGCTGAGCTTGAATTTGTATGGGAGCATGGGGCTGCATCTGAATCTGTTGTTGGGTTGTAGTCTGCACCTGAGCTGGTTGCTGAGGCTGGACTTGGGACTGGCCTTGTGGAAGGATTGCAGTCTGCGGCTGACTCTGGACTTGCACTGGAGATTGCCCTTGAGCCTGGGTCTGTGCTGGAGACTGAACTGGAGATTTAGACGACTGTGCTTCAGGTGTGACTGGAGAGTCAACAGATGCTGGAGTCTGAGATTCAGGCTGGGTCTGAGTTTCAGGCTGAAGCGCCGGCTGAGGTGCCTGTGGCTGGGCCAGCGGCACAGGCTGAGCACTCTGATTCTGCACTTGAGGCTGGGCTTGCTGCTGACTCTGAGGCTGCGGCTGAGCTGGCGGCAGCACTGATGTTGGCTGTGCCTGTAGAGCTTGCTTCTGTTCCCCTGTAGCTGTGAAGAATAAAAACAAGTATTCCATTCATTTCAAATGACACGTCTATGAGCCTTGCTAATTTGAAACGTAGAACTACTGTAAAGCTCTGTGCAGAAATTCAAGAGATTTCTAAGCTTAAAATACACTACTAACAAATCTACTGTAATAACAGACCATCTCCAACTGCATAAAAACTCCCATGCAGCTGAAATTGAAGCTTTTTTCCTGCCGAACAGAACAATGCTTACCTGAGGTTGACGTAGAAACTGTTGTTGTAGTTGTGCTAGCTGTAGTAGCAGCTGCTGGTAGTGGGGTGAAAAGAAATCTTTGAATTGTACCATTTGGCATAGCTGCTTGCATAAGCTGTTGTCCTGGACCAGGTATTACAGTCACACCCTGAGGGATTAATTGTAATTGACCAGTAGTTTGACCTTGTCCCTGAATTACCACAGTTAATCCTTGACTGCCACCCTAAAAAAAAGTGAATATTGATGTATTAGTGATGTATTTCTTAGACAGACTTTGCTGAAAATCAGAAGAATTAGGGTTTTGGATCTCAGAATTCAATACTTTTACCACATACCATATTCCTAAAATTCAAAGCTAGCATCTGAGATCATGAAATAGTGAAATACTCTTTCAACAGTTCTATCACCAACGAATTACTGGGTTGGAGTTCGTAACACACATTTTTGTCCAAATATTTACAAGAACTCTAGCCAGAAAGCAGCTACAATGGAACATCTTTGTTCCTAGAATTTACAAGCAATACAGAGCATGGATAACTTTAGACATACTATTAATTACTTTCTCAAAAATCCCAATAGTTTGTATAAAAGTTCTCTGCACTGAGAACATTTCCTATCCGCGTATCAGATCCTACCCAGCTGTGAGCTTTCACAACTGACTGTCCAGTCTGTACCGTATTGTGATTTTCTGTTGCCTAAGCTAACAGTTAGGCAGCTCTTGACATCACTCTCAACTCAGTGAGGGAGAAGGTAGGGTATTGTCCCAACACCTACATGCAGAACTCCACATTTCGTGAACCCACAGAACAGAATAAGGTCCCTGCAAAAATCCTTCTGAGTCTTTTAGTGTGGAAATGAACTCTCTGAGTCTTGTTCCACACATAAAAATTTTACCTGGTAACAAGCAGCCCGTACATTACAATAATTTACATTTTCTTTATATTTTGAAGAATTGGTGTTGTGGTAACTCAGAGAAGTCTATTTTTACCCTATGCTTGACTCTAAATTTTTTTTTTTTGCCAATAGACCTTCATGACCTGAGCAGAAGCTGTAAGAACTTTTTCCTCCTCCAGTTCTAGATACTGTAATTTTTCCTCTGAGGCTCTGGATAACATGAATGAAAACTAAATCTTCACACAAAATCAAATGACAAGGAACGAACATTATGTTCTGAAGATCTACAAAATAGGCTGTACAGAATAATTATGTCTCTTACTGCTATTAATGCAAAGATTTTTTTCCACACTGCTAAACTTCCCTGATGCTAGTTATATTACTGGGGAATACAATAGGAAGAGGTACTTAAAACTTTACATATACCATTTAAGCATCTTTCAGTCTGTAATTATGCTATCGGTCATCCTAAATGAAGGCTGAAACATAAATTTACGAGCAGATACACTACACTGCTGAAATCCAAAGGCTTGATAAGATGTATGTAAGTATTAGCACATTTTCATGCCCAAAGGCTGTAAAATATTTTACCTGTCCTTGTGTTAGTTGCGTGAGTTGGGCCATAGTAAGCTTTACTTGTCCCTGCTGAGGGCGAGGGGGCTGCGATGTAGTTTGTGGCTGTATTTGCTGAGGTGGTGTTCCAGGACTTGTGACGGTCTTCTGTCCAGCACTGGAAGAAGCTGTGCTGGTACTAGAAACTGCTGTTGAGACAGGCTGACCCCTGATTATTTGAGTCACCACTTGCTGCGTCTGACCTGTAGGAGAGTAATTTGCAATAAGAAACACATTTCCAACATTTTAACCATTAGCACAGTAAACCTCCGAGTCACATCAACTTGCAATAGACAAGCGAAGCAAACACTGCAGTTTGCACACAAATTTTCTTTACAAACCATTTGTCTGCATGGTTGACTAAAAAACGTTTGCAAAATGTTTTCTGTTTTAATTCAATTCATATACTTATGGAGTACTTCGAACACTTAGCTTGCCAGGAGAAAAAAAAAAAAAAAAAAAAAAGGCTTTCTCAATGCACAATAATTCTAAACTTTTTTGTTTGTTTTCAAATGAATGGACTTATTTAAGTACTAGATTTCTCAGTGTCAATGATGAACACCTGAACACCACTGACAAAGCCTGCAACTGACGCATTCAAAAGCCACAAGAAGCACTTGTTAGAAGTCAAGCATCAAAATGAGGTATTTTTGGATTGGGACATATGATACAGAAGGTATTTATGAAGAAACAAACCATGGATTTCACACTGGAAATTTAAATATTAAAATGAACCTACTGGCTGGAAGAATACCTTGTTGCACCACTAGAGGTGTTCGAATGATGGTCTTTCCAAGCGTTGACTGCTGAAGTGGTGTCCGTATTACTGTCATACCAGGGCGGAGTGGTGTCCCTTGCACTACCTACATCCACCAAAATGGAGAGCATATGTAAATTTGTGAAAAAAGCTGCTGGGATATGCCATAAAGTTTGTGGGTTTTTGCTTTTTTGGGGTGGGGGTGCTTTCTTTTGGGTTTTTTTTTTAATAGAGTAAGAAATGACAAGATGCAAGCAGATCCAATATTTTTTCATCTATGTCCGCACCGCTAAGGCTTACCAAGTTCTACACTATTAATTTTTCCAACTGGAGAGAATTGTTATACCTCCTTGGAATAGAGGATCCATAAACACTATTGCTGAGATGAGCCAAAAACATTGAAAAGTGACTAGACGGAACTGTTAATATCTGTCAATAACTTCAAAGATATGCACCCACTTTTTTTGCATTAAACAATCAGAAAAACATCTTACTTGCGAAGTGCTTGTTGTTCCTAACGTCCCTGTGGTATTTGGCCTAATGGTTACAGTTGCTGTCCTTGGCTGGAATGAAGTAAATGTTTGACTTGCACCTGTAGTTGATGGAATGATACCCAAAACCTTTTGCTGAACTTGAACAACACCTAATTAAAGAAAAATTGAGAATTCATTAATGACACAATTACCAGCAAAAGAAGTAAATGCAACTCCAGGGTGGCATTTAGAAATCAGTCTCCAGGTTTCTAGAACACCTTTGAGTCTTTCAACATTTCTTGGGAGAACCTTTGTCATATTGTAAAAAGCAGCAGCATTACACGTTGACCGATAGTTCAACTACATTTTAAGTTAAGAAATAGGTATTTTAGAAAAGATTAAGGAAAGAGAATCTGCACAAAGATCAGTTTGATGGTAACTGCAAATAAGTCCTTGAGTTTGACAGGGTGCCACAAATTAGCATTATACAACCATTAAAAGCTATAATCTGATTAATTTAAAATGTAGGAGACCAATTTAAACACCTTTCACCTACAAGCTTGTGCTGCTGAAGAAAACGGGTAATGATTTTCCTGTGACCTAAGAAATTTCAGCACAAAACTAGTAGCCTTCATGATTTCCTCAGATTCTAAGTATAATGGAGACAGAGAATTGAGCTTTTGTGTTCAATATACATTCACAAATTTCAAAGTATGAAGTCCTCTTCTTGAAGCAAGAAGAAAAAAACACTAATCTTAGTTTGGAGCCAAACTCTTGCTCATCAGTGAAGAGCAGATGCAGGCATTAATAACTAAGAACAGCAGCTTTTTTTTTTTTTTTGTGAAGAAAGTTGCTTTGTTGATGTATAATTTAGATAACGGAAAAAAGCATGCTTCATTCCACATCGTTAAAAATAAAGCTTCTAATTTTGCACTATGAAATGTAGACTAATTTATAGGCAAAAAAACTTGCATTTTTCCCCTACAGACACAAATATGCAATACAGGGGGAACAAGCTCTAGAAACTTGTATATATAAAAATATTTTTTCCCCTTCAAGTCACCATTTACTTCACTGGGCAAATAGTGTCAATGGAGAATTAATCAGCAAGCTGGAATACATTTTTAATTCAGTTCCCCTTCCCCTACCTCCTTGAGTTGATGGCACATTGACGGCAACAATCTTGCTGTTTGCAGGGAGTGGCAGCTTAGTTATCACTTTCCCTGCCATCGTTACTGGACTGCCTGAGATCTGGAAGGTCTGCCCTGTGCTGGCAATGGTTGTGGCTGAAGTGGCAGCTGTGCTAGTGGCTATTAAGGTACACAGAACAGTCAGTTTTAGAGCAGAATAATTAGTCAATGAAATGACTATTTTCAAGTATGAAACAGCAAACTACAGGATTATTTTTACAATCATTTTTGAATGCGTCATACTTTCTTTGGTAAAGATTCTTTTTTTGGAAACAGTATGTTACAGCACAGAATGCTTTCATTATCAATGATTACTAGTACAACAACTGTCAGTACTAAATGCGACAGGTCAGAAATAAGACTACCTGGCAAGTCTGAACAAAGGAAAATTAGACAGGTATTATCTCAGAAGTGTCCTGCTGACTTAGCAAGAGAGATAAGAGCAAAGATAACAAGAAATGTAATAATGCTATATATTCTGGAAAAGATGTAGGTGCTGTGCTGGAGTTCATCCTATTTACATGTTCCTTCCATGATAAATGGCTACTTACCTGTTGAAGATTGGCCTTGTTTAACCCAAGTAGCAAAAGTCTGATGGAAATTCTTGTTCTGTTGGAATGTTACTGTAGCTGGAGAACCCACTTTTGTAGTAAGTACTACTTTGGTTCCAGTGGGGACTGGGCCCGCTAAAGGGCCTACCACAACTTTCTGTGCCGTTGAGACAGTAGTTGCAGTGCTGCTGGCTGTAGTGACTGCAGGGGCCACACCTGCTGCAGGTATCTGCTTCTGCTGCTCCAGCCGTTTCTACAGAATTTAGGAGAAAAATTAAACTAAGGGATAATTAGCATTTTCAGATTTTGTAAAATAAATGCTGTCTCTTCCCAGTATTGAAAAATAAAGGGCTCTGGGAGGATTTTAGTTCAAGTCGTAAAGGATTGAAGAACAGGCTGCTTGCGTACCCTATAGCACAAGACTCCCTGACCTGCAGAATGACAACTCTGTTGACAGTACACAGCCAGAAATCTTCTTTTATAGCATCTTTAAAATCCTCATCTTATGCTAATTTCACTGCACATATTACTTCAAGGAAAACTTACTAATGGGTCTCAGATTAAGCTGAAAAGTTAAAAAACTCTGAAAAGTATCCATCTGTATTTGGCTTTGACCATGCGCATACAGCCCGCATCTATGTCAGTACGCCATCATTAACACAGTTTATCACTATCATTCCTAAGTTCAGAGCTGCCTGCACTGAGATCCTGACAGTTACAGGAGAAAAAATAAAGAGACTGTATCCTTCTAGTTCATCATTAAGAACGTAATTTTAAAAATTATTCTTTTAACTGTAAATCCAGCCTGCAGCTTGCTTAAAAAAATTAGGTTCAAAATCCCTTACCTTACCCAGCAACCTTCTGTGCTGTAACTGTCAAGAAGGTTCCTTTAATTTAGAGAGCCACTTTGTGAAGGGATAGGCTCTTAAAATTCAAACTAATCTAACATTCTTCCCTGTGTTACTGGAATTCTCTCTGTATTAATCAATTTAAATTTCAGTGTTTGGTTAGCATTATATTGCAGTAATGCCCACAAACACTCATTCTCTAGTAATCTATTTTCTTCAGGGAACATGAAATGAAAAAGGAGAAAGTTGGAAAAAAGCACAATTCTTCATAGTATGTGAAATACCAACATGGCATTGCGTTTCCCAATTTTAATTACATACATACTTACATCTATACATATGTATCTATGTATGTAAAAAAAATTATCAATGGGCTTCATTCAGCCAACTTAAGATAGGATAAAATCGAAAGATTCAATTTGATTGAAGCATGAAGAACAAATGCAGTTGTATTGCCAAGTGAGCTATATACCACGGCAGCTTTCCATTACATCACGGAACACTCATGACCTTACCTGGAGAGACTGGTGCTTCTCAGCCTTCTTTTAAAATGGAAACAAACCAAACCTTTTTAAAGTGTTACAAATTAGGTGGGGAGGGAAAAAAAAAAGGGGGGGGAATCCAAAACAAGTCTTTGCCTTAATCCTGTTTCAAAATAACAAATGTACGCAGTGGGAGCAGCATTGTTTGACGGCTTAATTTGCACAGGGGGTGGAAACTTTTTGAAAAATGATGTAAGATGGGGGTAAACTTTGTTTCCCATATTCTAATGCATGTGGACTACCAGTGCATGGTTGCTGACAGGCGGGACTACCAATAGCTCCCCCACCTGCTGGGCAGCCAATCGTTGGTGTTTTAGTTGAGCCTCCAATTGGGCCTTGAATTCCTCTGCCTTCTTCTGTTCACTAACCTTAGCCTGTTGTTCAACTGCCTGTGCCTTTTCCTTCTCCACCCTGCCAAAGACACAACCAAAAGTAAGTTATACCACCACGTAAAATCCAACCATCAAACTGGATTTAATTTTATCCAGTTTAATTGCTCTTATAAGAACAAATGTCAAGACTGAATATCACTGAAAAACTGGTCATGGCTTTAAAAGTATTTTGAAATAAACTACTGAAGTTGCATGCAACATCCTTGAAATATTCTGATGCTAAACTACTACAACACCTTACAGGAAACTACTAATCAAAACTGGAATTTATAATTACATCCGAGACTGTAAACAATCTATGTAATACCATTAATTCAAAACAATTCTCTCCAAGATACTAAAAAATGCTGTTCCAACTCTAAGCATGCAATACTGAAAGTATTAATTTTATGACTTGAATATTCTCAAGCTGAGTTTACCTTTACTTTGCTTGTACACATTAATTTTCTTTGTATTACAGAAGTATTTAAACACATACTGTTTAAAGTCATGCCAAAGGTAGCCTAAAGCCTTTCCATACATTAGAGTAATAGCCTTTCAGCATACAACAGTGATTAGTTCATAAGCATAGAAAAATTAATGTAATATTAGTTCTAACAAATCTGTAAGATCTGCATACATCAGTTTTGGTACCAGCAAATAGTTTAGCTTTACAACTTTAAACTTGACTATCATTATCAAAAGACACAGTAAAAATGCAACACAGATCTGCTTTTACTGATCGTAGCTACCAAGTTCATGTTCCCTAGCGGGAACTTTTATTTCACATACACACATAAATTAAAACTGCTTTCTTTAAAAGCTCATTTGAGCTCGTTTACCTTTCAGCAAATGCCCTGATTTCCCATAGCTCCAATTCCTCCTCTGCTACCCAACTTTCAATTATAACAGGGCCTGTTTGCTTGGGTGTTTCTGGCCTTTTTGGCCTTAGTGCACTTGATCGCAGTCCCTTCCTCTGGGGTGTTGGAGTTTCTTTAGAGAACAGTCAAAACACACACATTAAGCTCAATCAGAAACCAAAATTAAAGTGTAAACCAAGATTTAGTGTCTCTTTCAGTCTCATTTTATAAACAAGAAGGCCTTTCAGCTTCAGATAAATCATGTCAGTTTGTTAAATGTGACATTTGTTTCAAAGAGGCGAATGAATAGTTCATGTCAAGCTGTATTTGCTCCCTTGATGGTCTGAATTAACATAATGATCCAGTTACCTTAATTTCTGTAGGAGCTTATGGGAAGAGGGGGTTGGGGGGGCGGGGGGGAATGTATAAACAAACATACCTTTCGGAGCCTCTGGTACACCAATGGGACAAATAATTTTTCTTATACAGTACTCTGACCGGATTCCATATGGACCAACATCTCTTCGCTTGATTATTTCTGTTGTTGTAATTTCAGTTTCAGATGTTTCTACAATAAATTAGTCCCAATACGTTAATAACAGAAAACAAATAAAAACTGCATCTCCAATCAACCCAACATACTCCAGGTAAAGAAACAGCAACCAGTACAAACTGTTGAGTAAAAAACTTCAAATGCCATAGGTAACATCAAACCT